TTTTGTGGGCAAATCAGAAGGAAAGAGACCACTAGGAAGACCTAGACGTAGATGGGAGGATAATATTAAAATGGATATTAAAGAAATAGGATGGGATGGTTTAGACTGGATTAATCTGGCTCAGGACAGGGACCAGTGGCGGACTCTTGTGAGCACGTTGACTAACCTTTGGGTTCTATAAAATGTTGGTAATTTGGTGAGCTTCTGAGCGACTGTTAGCTTCTGAGGAACGACTCGAGGTCCATGGAGAAAGTATTTTATACAAAGAGAATAATTTTCGTAAAAAACATCTCATCTTCCATCTGTTGTTGGCATAATTGCTAATGTGGAATCGTGACTGGTCATGTCTGAAACATTTAGGCTGACGAAATACATCTCATTCATTTGAAAGGCGTATGTAATGATAAATATTATGGATAGATGTTATCCAATGATGTTGTTTCAAAATTACTTTCGAATATGAACAGCCTGGAGGTCTAGTCTGTGACAGCTGATGTATGAGGTTATAATTCGACGATGATTATTACACGTTTAAGTTTACAAACTCATTAATTTCCTGATGCTAAATAAATAAATAAATACGCAACACTAACTTGGAAAAAAGAATTAATCACGTCACCCGAAAGAAATGTCTGCTTGTATTTGGAGGTTCAATTAACACGTCTGTGGCATGTTAGCCAAAGGACGATTTCAAGGCGACCGTGGCCAAGTTAATTAACATCACGTGAAGATTCAGTAGCACACGGAGTAAGAGAAGTTTCTTCTGCACAGAGACAAATGAAGTTTACGGGTTTGCAGTTTCATTATTCTTATTTCTCACAGGAATGGAGAAAGTCTTACTGGAGATAAAAACCACAAGAGTTGAATCACGTCCGAACCAGATCTGACCAGTTCTACTCCAGACTCTCAAAGAACTTCATCTGAATTAACACGCAGAGGATCGAGAAGTGAAGTCTCTTACAGTCAGGATGTTTGATTAGCAGTTTGCGTCACTCAGCCTGGAAATAGGAAGACATCTTTGGGAAGGTAAGGGACGGAGTTTTCAAATTGAAAAAAAATCAAAACTTTTAATATCGCGTTATAATTTTATAATAAATTTATTTTCCTATGTTCGTTTTATGATAAATGATATCAGGGCTATTTAAAAACAGCTTTTCTCTTGTGTAAATTCTAATTCTACTGTGCTACAAGCAGCGTGTGTTTGGAAACATTAGATTTAGACCGAGATAGCGTTAGAAACATTTTCTAATCGATTTTCCATTGACGAAAGAATTTTTCTTGATTAATTATCATGCTTTCTTTCCACCAAGCGCATAGCGAGAACTCATTATGGGTTTATCGTGTCTGTCCGTCTGTCGGTCCAGTCAGTTAAACTCGAGAAGCACTGGACGGATTTGGATGAAATTTGATATGTAGGTTGTGCCATTCTATACGACCTTAAAATAATTCTTCTGAAAATCGTACGAGTGGTGTTAACAAAATGACGGACGAAGAAACTCGTGAGATGGACCATAAGGTGCTGCGATCTGGTGGCCATAGTGGGGGCTTTGTTTTTATTTGTTTAGTACTTACTATGGTAATCGTGGTTTCATTTAATGTAAATTGGAATCAGCGTAACTATTCGTGTAAGATTGTTTCTGTTGCAGAACTTAGGTTAGGTTAAGTTAGGTTAGGTTATATTATGTTTCGTTTGGTTTCTTCAGTTTCGGTTAGGGACTTTTAGGTTAGGTTTAAATTGAATTTTGAATTTTGGAAATTTAATTGTGGGAATTACACAGTTTATAATCCCGGATTTTGCAGTTTTGAAGGAAAAAAAATTGAAATTTTTAAAATTGCGAGTGTTTAGAATTTTTGAAAAATTTAAATAATTCAGAAATTTTTGAATGTTCAAAATTTTAAAATTTATTTCGCGGTACAACGCGAATGTGACACCTCCAAATACATGCATCAGAACAACTCATGAGTACGCATGCGTATTCCGGGACAGAGAACTCTTTCCTGATTTGTTATTCTTGATTACTTAACGACGTAATCAATAGCTCTAACTATGTAGACCCCCAATGATAAGACGATTAGTGAATAAGTAATTTGAATTCATGCGGGAAGAAGCGGTCGTGGCCTAATTTAAGATACTACCTCGGACTTTGTCTCTCGCGGGACTGAGTAGAATTACAAAGACTTCTGTTAGAGGATATAATTTTCTCGGCAGAGATTTTAACTCTGTTCCTCCACAAGTACGACATTCGATCTTTAAATCTTGTAGTGCCAAAGGAAAGCCTAGTTTACCAGACTACATGACGTAACATCCCAGAAGACAGTCTTCTCCAGTCGGAATTTATTTTTCCTTGTATTCAGAATTGCCCAAGTGTGTCTTTTGTCGATCGTCTTTTGTCAAGTGCCTCCTACGATGAAGGTAGGAACTACGTAACCTGGCTGTCGAGTTTTGTTACGGTAGGTAGAATTGGAAAAGAAGTCAAGCTCAACTTCAGGATTGCGAGACTGTAAAATTTCGTACACGTATCCGAGCAGTAAACATGTTTCCTTAACCTTCAGTGCTTATTTCAGTGACGTGACTGTGAAATCAGAAAGATTTACATGACGTGTGTGTGGTTTGGCGTTGCAAAACATTCAGTGGAATATTAACTACCAAAGAACACAATTGAAATGCGTGAGATTGCATTGGCACGTATAGCAAGAGCGAAGTGAATCTCGATTTTGATGGTACATTAGTTTTCTCTTACGTCTTTGAGAGACTTCATACTGTAAATGGCAAACACTGCCTCTAGCTATAACGGGTACGTGCTTAAAGCTTATGGGGATTCTTCAAGGCGTGAAACCTTGACGTTTTAAACCAGGGGCCTTTGCTACTGGTGAAGATGACTCCCCACCAGGCAAATTATCCTCTCATGTAAAAGAACCTTACGAGATGTTTCGTAAGCAAAATTCAGCGACCATTTCTCAGCCAAGTCTTTCGTGATTCACTACTAGATGGCTCTGGCAGTCAAATGAGGATTGAGTAGAAATTATGTAGAGACAGTGAGCTGGCCACTCACTACTCGCAAATGCACACTTCAAAGACTAGGAACCCCCGAAAAGGGGTGGCAAAGATCCACAAGTAGAATAGATAGAAAAGGATTTTGGTTGGATGGTTCTCTTGGATTTGAAACCAGAAGTCTTATGGATCGCCTTGGCTGAAGGCCACCGTGTTTGGGGAAGGTGAGCCATGCCCCTATTGAATTATATCTTGGTTTTTGCCGTATTGAAAAAGCAGTCTTAGTAGACAGCCGATAAGATATTCTTCAGCTTGGGGGGTTGGGCGTTGGGAAAACAACTCCTTAAAATAAAAATAATAAATTTTTACGAAATGTTGCACACGGGTTCGGACTGGGACGGATTCTTTGACATGACATATGGCACATGGAATTTAAGGAGTCTGTATAGTGTAGATTCATTGATCTTTGAGAAATAGGATTAGGTTGTATGGACTGGATTCATCTGTCTCAGGATAAGGAACCAGTGGTGGGCTCTTGGGAACACGGTGACAAACACTCGGGTTCCATAAGATGTTGTAAATTTCTTTTTCATTGGGCTGAGCGACTGTTAGCTTCTCAGGAAGAACTCGGCTACATGGAATAAGTAATTATTTGCCGTGCAACTGAGGAAAATCACGGGAAATCGCAGTCAGGCTAGCCGAGTGGTTACATAACTCGTTACACAGACTTGGCCGTCTTTTCTGGGACAGCCTCCGATGTCCTGCTGATCGTCAGCCCCACCCCTCGGTTGCCCATGGATGACTCAGTCAGGCCTTGGCCGGCACACCCGCCTTTCAAGTTGCCGAGGTAAGGGGTTCCCCGGCATCACCCAATTTCGAGTGAAATCCCCTATTGAGTGCTCTGATGCGGTCGGCGAAGGATAGAGCCTCCAAAATTCTCGTGAACTCGCCTCTTACTGACGTTAGGAATGTCGAAGTGGTCTGGATTGTAACCATCGGAGCTCCCTGTCGTGGATGCAGACAGCGTTTCTGACAAGAGAGGCCACTTCTCCTTTTAAGGACTGGGCCAAGGACGCCCTCGTTCATACTTCGCTGAACTGTGCCGGCCAGGTAAGCCTGAGTGTCAAGGGTGACCCCGAGATGCCGCGCTATTTCTACCAATTGTATCGGCTGTCCGAGAAACTGCACTGCTCTGGGCTGTTGGATGCGTCTTCTCGCCGTAACGAATAGAACTGTGGTGCTCTCCGAGACGTTGATAGCAATCCTCCAGGCCCGGAGCCAGAGCTCAAGTCTACCGAGGTAGGCCTCCAGATAACCGACTAGAAGCGTCATCCGAGAATTACGCTAACTCGACGTGGTGGGACGGTGTAGGTATGTCGATGACGTACAGACTGAACAGTACAGGGGAGATGAGTCTCCGCCCTGGACGTCTGGAAGGACGTTTGGAATGTCCGGGAAGCGAGGTAGGAAGAGATGGTTTTCGCCAGGTAGGACGGGAGGTTGAGGACGGTCAGCTTTTAAAGGAGGTCTTTGTGCTCGTATTTTGTCGAAAGCTTTGGCCGCTTACAGAAAAACCGCGCAGGTCAGCCCCTTCTCGTCAGAGATTCTGTTGACTCTTTCAGCAACACGAATCGTGGTATGTAGACTTTGCCGTTTGTGAATGCAATAAGCCTGATTTTGAAGCATGGTATTCCCCAAAGTTATGGAAACCGGATTTAAAGAAAACTTGTAAGACTAGTAACCAGTTCAGCCAACCTCAAGTCAAGGTCACGGTCTCCGTTGTTCAGCCAGGAACCTGTTGAAGGCCTGTTTCAGCCAGAAGAACCGATTTTATAACAACGTACTGGCTGGTCGGGGCCTCTGACAGACAGAAGTTAATATCGAACATTGATGACTTAGTGTTGGGAAGGAGGAAACCAAAATATTTGTTAAAAGATTTGCAAGATATTGTAGATGCGTCATATTGTGATTTATATAGTATTAAAAATATATTAAAATTAGCCGTCAATCACAATATAATATTATTAAAAGATTAAAATATCATTTTACGTTCCCTATCGAGTACTCGATTTACATGTG